GCTCTGCGGCGTGGCCTCCCCCCTCTGCTCTGCCTTCGTGCGTCCCTCTGCCGACCCCAGGAGCGCCTCTAATGTTCCAGCTCACGAGCCCCGTCTTCCTTGTGACCATGCTTCTCAGCTTTCGTTTTTAATAATTGTCCCTTAAAAAAATTTCCAAGGCCTCCAGTTCTTTTTCCTAACTCCCGGCTGTCTCAGTGCCTATTCCTGTCTGGCGGTTTATTTCACGCCCCCCCACCCCCACCCCATTATGGGGCTGTGATGTTAATCCTATGGTTGTGAAGTCCTCTTGATCGCTCTGCCAGCTCTGTTCCTCAGGGGCCAGTTTGGGCTGGGGAGTGTGGTGATCTCTTGCCCATGGTCAGTGCCCTCCTAGGTGGGTGCTTGGTTGAGTCTTGTCTTTAGATCTGAAGTTCCCCCCAAAGCATTTGGCCTAGGAGAGGGGGACGGCGGGGGGAGAGAAGCACCCCCAGGACAAGTCTGGGCTGCGCAGGACACAGCCTGAGGGGCTCAGACACCCCGGCCTGGACTCCAGAGAGGCTCCGTGCAGCGTGGGGCTCTCCGTGCACAATCTGCCTTCCTCACACCCTTCCTCACCCTCAGCTCTCCAACACGGCGTCCCTCCTCACGGCCCCGCCTTCCTTGGCCCCAGATCTGATGCTCACAGCCACTTCCATCCCCATTCTGGGCATCACCCCCTTGGCTCCATGACACTGCTCTCCTGCCTGCCTGGCTACTCCCTTCTCTGTCCCCAGAACGCAGCTGTCTCCCAGCATTCTGCCTTCAGACCTTATGGTGGTCATCACGGTCATTTGTGAACCCCCAGCTCCGTGCACGTGGCAGGAGGGGCCGTGTGGGGCCCCCGGCACGTCTGATTGCTGGTGTGAGCCCCTTCTCAGCTCTCCTTTATCCTGGGGAAGGCACGTGGGATGTTTGCGACCTCCTCTCCTCCGTCAGGGGTCCCTGAAGAACCACGGTGACTGGAACCCCCACCCTGCCCGCCTGAAGTTGACACGTGGCACAAGTGAGAAATAACCCTTTGTTGTTCAAAACGTCGGCGTTTTAGGGCCGTTCGCTGCCGGAGCGTGGTCGGCCCTGGGAGAGGCTCGGGGCTGGCCATGGCCCGCCACGGAAGCTGGAATGCTGGCAGCTGTTACGCAGCGGCGAAACATTTGGTAAAACTCAACTGTGATGACTCACGAGGCAAGTGATGTCCAAAATAACTCGCAGGTCTGGGGGAAGAGGTTGGGAAACACTGGCAGCATGTATTATCACAGGCTGTGTCTGGCAAGATACCCAAGGGGGAGAGAGGCTGAAAGCCATTCCGGGTTTGCAAGCTAGAAGGAGTCAAGAAAGGCAGAGACGCAGGGACTCGCAGGGTCGAGAGGCCTCCCGCTCATCCGAGGGCAGGTCAGAGCCAGGACAGGCCGAGGAGATGGGCGCCACCCTAGCTGTGACAGTAGAGGGCTGCTTCTGAGCTTTGCAAAGTCGGGAGAGCAGCAGGCGGGGTGGCGCCGGGCCGGTGGGGAGCGAAGCGCATCTCAGCAGCACCGCAGGCCTTGAGGGCTGGAGTCAAGGGCTGGGGAGACTACGGTGCTTTTGAGTTGAACTACCCAAGGAACTAAGGGCCTGGGACGGAGAGGTTGGTGCCTAGAGACTTGAGAGTGGCTTTGGCGGGGAGGAGGCTGAGAAGACAGGAAGAGGGCAGACCCTTCCAAGGGCAGCACCAAGGGCCACAGAGGACCCTGCGCTGGGGGACCCGTGTCCCTCCTTCCACAGGGACGCTGCTGCTGTGGCCCCACCCCGCTCCCTGCGGGGTAGGTGTATGGCCCTCCACCTCACAAGTCTGTGGGTTGAGCAGAGCCCCACCCGGTCCTGGAGCAGGGATGCGCACAGGCCCTCATTCACGGAGGCCACCCGGGGTCCTGTACCGTGCCTGGCCGGGACCAGGTCATCTTCTGGCCAGGGTGGGTGGTGGATCTTGACTGCAGGAAGGAGAGTCAGCAGGATATTTGGTGACCTGGGGGCTGGATGTGGCAGGGCCAGTGTGGCCGGCCCTGCCTGAACTGTTTCTCATTCTCCTGCATCCTGGCCCCTTGTGTAGGGTGGGCTCTGGGACTGGGTCTGGCCAGTTGGTCAGGTGACATGTCACTTTGGGACCAGAGCACATAATCCTGGTGGGAGAGCTTGCAGTGCTGCCTGGCACAGAGACCCACGAACAGGTGTGTCAGCCTAATCCCGTGGGAGACCCCGACACGCTGAGCGGGACCCTGCCCTTGGCCCCAGTAGCCGCATCACTCCTGTGCCCGCAGCACAGCCATGCTTCGTGGAGAGGCCCCCATGGGGTCCCCGCCCTGTTTCCTCGCCTGAACTCCCCCCGCACCTGCAGCCACTACTGTGCCTGTGCTGGTGGACGTCTGCAGCCCCTCAGTCGCCATCTTCCAAGATCGCACTCACCTTTTCCTTTACTCCAGTTTGGGACAGGGGAGCACCACTGAGAAAGGCTTACAGCGAGGGTGGTGACAAGTGACCTCCATTATATTGGTGTGCTAGGTCCAGGAAAGGGGCATGGCAGAGGCCTGGCGAGGGGGTCGGGGAGGGTGGGGGAAGCCCGTGGCTGCTGCTCAGACCCCCGGGGCCGCAGGGCAGGATCTGGGGCCTGAGGGCAGAGCCAATGGTCAGGAGTGGCTGGGTGCTTAGGAAGGCCCGCAGCCCTATCCAGCATCTCCCTGCCTCTGGCCGGGAGCCTGTGTCTGAGGACAGGGCTGACCAGCTCTAGACCCCGCCTCGCGGCAGCTGGGCACACATGAAGGAAGAGTTGGGACCAACAAGCTGGGAGGTAGTTTGCAGAGTGGAGGTTTAATGGGACAATCATGGTGACCCCATTGCAGGGGCCCAGGTGGCCCAGCTCTAACCAGGGTCCCCAGGCCTCTGCCAGCAGGGTGGGCCTAAGAGCACCAGTACCACCTGCCCCCATCTGTGTTACTGCTGCTCTGGCCGCAGGCAGCCACAAGACAGACAGTCCTGTCCCACCCCGCCCGGGGGCCTGGGACCCCATGTTCCCTGAGGAGCTAAGGCTTTTGGGGGGGCCCCTCCCCAGGGACATCCACCCTCTCCTTAGTGTCCCCTGCCCCCACACTGAGGGCATGTCTATGTCCTTGTCCCTCTGCCAGGGCCAATGGAGACCACCAGCCCCCGGGGCGGGGTGCAGGGCTCTGCGGGGCGAGGCTCGCTATGGGGACAGCACAGCCAGGCCTCCCAGCAGACTTAAGGCACAGTGTGGCGGTGGCTGTCAACCCGGGGCAGCGTCTGGCAGTCAGTGTTGAGACAGGAGGGCGTGGCATGTGCTGGCCATTCTGGGGCCTGCAGTGCAAGAGAGCTGGGGGACTGGGTCCACTGGCCTCGGCTGGCCCCGGGCAGGTCCCTGGGAAAGCCCGCGAGTGGGGCGCGTGGGCCCGGGCAGAGCTCACGGCCAGAGCCGCGGCGCAGTCATGGCAGGCCCGGGCCACAGAAGGCACAATCGTGGTGTCTGGAGGTCACGGCTAGGCAGACACATTGACGTCCCTGAGAGAGATGGCGCTGCTGGGGGCCTCGTCCCCAAGCAGCAGGGCTGGTGTGTCCGCATCCGCCTCTGAGTCCGCTCCGGCACTGCCCTGCTCCACGCTGGGCTCGGCACTGGGGCCCAGGCCCTGGGACAGGATCTGCTGGATGGTCCTGCGCAGGTTAGGGTGCAGCCGGCCCTGCGTCTGGTAGAAGACCTCCAGGGCGAAGGACTTGAGGGCGCCGGTGCACAGGTCCTCATACAGCGGGATGGTGTACATGCGGGACATCTGCTGGGGGAGGGGGCGGGGTGCAGGGCACTCAGGAGAATTGGCCGCCCCCACACGGCCACAGCGGGACCCCTCTGCCCTCACCCCGTCACTCACAGGCCTTCTACAGAGGCCCCGTCTCCAGGGAGCTTGGGCTGAGGGTGCTGACAGGGGACAGGTGGGGGAGTGGGGAGGCCAGGGCCCCTGTGGGACCACCGGGACCTCTGAGGAGCTCAGATGCCCCAGTGTCCAGGCCCAGTCTCTGCTCCCAGCTTGGCCCCTCCGGGCACAGCCTCCCAGGGTCTGGCGGTGTCTGGTCTCTTCCCCCCACTGCCACCTTAGATTGCGCGTCTTCCCCGCACCATTCTCTGGGGTGCCCAGCCTGAACGGTCAGACCAGGGGGCCGTGGGGGGCGCAGCGGCTGGGGGAGGAGGCCCGTGCGGGCAGTCGCACCTGGCTCTCGAGGAAGCGCCGGACCCTGTGGAGGTCGGGGTAGTAGTCGTTCCGGACCACGATCTGCAGCCAGCGGATGCGGATCTCGGCATTCATGGAGTCCAGCAGGGAGGAGTAGCAGTTGGACAGGCTCATCACCACCTCTGCGGGGCGGCAGGCAGGTCAGGGCCCTGCAGGCGCACCCCTCCCCAGCCACCTGGGCAGCTGAGGGACTCACCCTGGGGCAGCGGGGACCCATCCAGGAGCCGGTCCAGGAAGAGTGCAGTCTGGAAGGTCCTCCACTTGGAGATGTCGATGGTGCTGGCAGAGGCAGCCGCCTGGTCCAGGGGCTCCGCAGTCCACAGCTGGAAGAGGGCCTCCACCGGCCGGGTCAGGCTAGACCCCTGAGACAGGTCCGGCTCAGCCAGCGGGGGGCCCGTGGCATTAAGCCAGCGCTCGAACTCCAGCCCTGCAGGGGACACGAGATCCTAGGGCCTCCTCCTGGGCTGGGGAGTGGCTGCCTGAGCAGGCCTGTCCAGGAGACTCCTGACCCTGAGGGTGTTCCTGGGTGTGACCATCCCAGGGCCTGGCAGCCCCAAGAGTGGGGAAGTTTGGGGAGGCCGGGGTCAGCTCCAGCCCCTGCCCTGCAGGCCACTGGAGTGGCTTTTGTGAAGGGGCACAGGGAGGCAGAAGGCTTGGGTTGGTGACTGAGGGACCTCCACCCCTCCAGGTCTCTCCTGAGTGGAAGACAATGAGGCACTTTAACCCCGTAGCAGGGAGATCGGAGGGAGGCACTGCACGGTGACAGGGTGGGTGGCAACGCACTGGTAAAGGGGTGTTCCTGCTCTAAAGCCCAAGAGGTGGCTGCCGAGGGGACACGTTCTACCCACCCGCTAAACCCCAGAATCCTTAGCGTGCCTACCGCCCCTTTTGAAGCACAGGGCCCCCACGCCCAGACCTCCCAGCCATACCTCACCGCCTTCTAGCAAACCCTGGCCTCTCCCTAGACAGCAGATCCCTTCTGTTTCTTCTTTGGCCCCCAAGCCCTCAGACCCCGAGAGACACCCTCACGAGCGTCATGCAAGCAGGCCAGCTGGCTTCAGCCAGCTCTGAGACAAACCTCCCTCTGCCCTGCAGATCCTGCCCCAGGCCCTTTGCACACACTTTCCATGGCTCTCTTTCTGGGACTGCCTAATCAAGTCTGCCTGGCTTAAGTGCCACCTCCTCTGGGAAGCCCCCAGGGCCCCATCAGGCTGGGAAGCACACTCTCCTCTCTACTCCTATGGTGTCCAGCCTAGTGAGGGTTGGCTGCAGGAAGGATGGGTAAACCCAAGGGGCTCTCCTCCAGGCAGAGGTGGCATCGTGTGAGGGAGAGCCCCACACCCATCCTGGCAGGCCGTGGGCTCGCTGCGTGAGGACATGTGGCGGGCGGTGGACCTCACCTGCCCGGCAGTCCACGCTCTGCTCCTTCAGCTCCGGGAAGAAGGTCAGGAAGGAGTCCAGCAGGTCCTGGGCCACCACGCTGGTGAACTTGTACTTCTCCACGTAGGCCTGCATGGGCAGGGGCAGGGCTCAGCAGGCCTGGGAGCTGGGCACATATCGCCGCCCCCTCAGAGCTGGGGCCTGCACAGCATGGCCGGCTAGAAGAGGCCCCGCCCCGAGGGGTCTGCACAGAGGGGTGTGCAAGCCCAGGGTGGGTGCAGAGACACCACTGCTGCCTCACTGGCCCGCCAAGCGGCCACGCGTGGGAGGGTGGGAAAGACAGGAGGTAGCACCCAGGCACTGCCCCTGAGAGAGGCGGGCAGGTCCCAGCTCCACCCACAGCCCCGCCCCCGCCCCCGCCCCCACCGCGCCCTGGGGAGAAGGGCACAGCCCTGGGGGCGAGGCGGGTGTGGATGGGGTAGGAGAGGCGGGGCCTGTCCCGGGAGGGGCTGCTCACTCGGAGGAAGTCGTCGAAGCGCTGGGGGTCCCCGCAGAGCTGGGACAGGTAGTACACGAAGCAGTAGCCCTTCTCGTAGGTGAACAGGTTCATCAGGTGGCTAGGGTTCACCCCTGCAAGGGGAACACCCTGGGCTCTGGGCGGTGCCCTGACCCTCCTGTGTCCCAAGGGATGGCGGCCAGGGGTCAGGGGCTGTGCAGGGGGAAGAGCTGAGGGCCACCTTCCCTCACGTCCGGATGCCCTGGGGGTGCAGTGATTGGGCCTGCTTGTCCCGGGGGGGGGGCCTTGGGGGAGACCGAGGGTCCACACACCACAGTGATGGGTGCTCAGAGCCTGTGAGAGGTGGTGGCGGGCTGAGGGAGCCTAGGGAAGGCCTTCCTGGGGCTGGGAGGGCCTGACCTGGCCTTTGCAGGGATGCCATGCTGGAAGACAGGGACACCCAGCCAGAGGAAGCAAGCGGTGGGCAAGAAGGCCCTGCAGGTGGCGTCTGCAGGCCCAGGCCAGGTCCTGGTGGGAGTAGGCACCTGGCTCCAGCTTGACCTGCAGCTTGCTGACCGGGCTGTCCTCTCCGAGAAGCTTCATCTGCCTGTGCAGGGCATCCAGGCGGAAGGCTGTCTCCAGACAGGTGAAGGCAGCACCTGCACGGGGGCAGGGAGGTGGGGGGGGGCGGGAGGCCAGCCTGAGCGCCTGGGGCAGGTGTGGCTGCTCCCTGCCCTGAGCCTTGTGGCTGGACACGCAGGGCAGCGGGGCCACACCCTGGGACCAGGCTGGGCTCTCAGCCCCTTGTGTGGTGCCCAGGACAGCCCTGGTGGCGCCAGCCGGCACGAGGCCATGGTGGCGCCACCCCCACCCCTCCCCAGCCCAGTACCATAGGTCTCCGTGGTGATGCGGCGCTGGGCGTAGGTGGCCAGGCCTTCGCTCAGCCACATCTCCTCCCACGTGGCGTTGGTGACGGCGTTGCCAAACCAGCTGTGGGCCACCTCATGGATGACGTCAATGACCAGGAACTCGTCACTCTCCAGGATGGAGGAGATGATGAAGGTGAGGCAGGGGTTCTCCATGGCCACGATGGGGAAGGAGGGGGGCAAGAAGACGATGTCATACCTGCCCGGGGATGGGGAGCACGGGTGACCGTTAAGACAGCTGGGGCCTGGGCAGCGAGCATCACTTCCCCCGCCAGGCGTCAGACGAGGCCCCCATCGTGGAGCCCGCTGTTCCCTGGGAGTCCTCGGACCCCTCCTGCAGCCAGCCAGGGCTC